TTGTTAGCTTTATGTTTATGTGTAAGCCATGGGATCACATGTCTTTTATAGGAATAGATTCCTGCATGAATTAGGAATTGGTGTTTAAAACTATTTTGACCTCTCTCCACTGTAAGAAGCCCTTTCTCCAGTGCAACCCAGTCATGAAACAACATATACCCATATTAAATGTGTTGCTGGTATTTCCTATTATATTTTATTTTTAACTTTAAATGATAGATTGCTAATCATTAAATTGATGTAACAGCTTACTAATGGATTGACATTTAGTTTGAAATACATTGGACTATAATAATCGATAAAATCCTTATAACACTATTATCGTTATTATTCCCACTCAATAATTTAAACTAAAAATTGGACCCATAAAAGTCCACACTGCAAATGCCTAGAGGTTAATTAATTAATTTTGATCATTAACATCTCTAGGGAGGTTGAAAATTAGAAAATGTTCTGTTTTTCGATTCTCACCGCTGTTCTTGTCACCTGTCACCCATTCCCCATATCAGTCTTTTCCAAAAGTAGAATTAACTTTTGCCCTTTTGAAGACTCTCATCTTAATTTTTCATTATCTCATTATCTACCTGAATTAAAATTTGGTGCCAGTTCTTTTCATTTAATATTTTTCCTGGATTTATGACAACATTTTCAAGTCATTTAGATAAACACCAATTTTTACATGAGAAATGATTGATTTTCTTATTTGAAACCCATCATTTAAAAAGTGTTATCTTTTATCTGAAATACTGTAGCACCTAATTATTTAAGAGAGTTTTATAAAATGAATAAAAGAGTTAAATAAAATAAGGGTTTTCATTTTGCTTCACATAAGGAAGGTTAAGAAGATGTTCTGTGTAAACTTCATCACCAGATGTTCTTTTGTTTTAGAAATGGTTCATCTGAGTAAATGGACAGGGTGAAAGGCTGCAGTATCTTAAAGTTGTTAGAGTCAGATTTTGGAGGATTATATAAAATGAGATGACAGGCTTTCTATTATACTAAAGAATTTATATTTATCTTTAGTATTATGGGAAAAATTATTCCCAAGTGCTGTATCTGTGTGCTCTAATGCTGTCGGGTGACTGGTAATGTTATTGTAGACTACTTTACTTTACCTTCTCCTTCCTTATTGAGGCAAGTAATTGTGGATTTACTGAATATTTCCTAAACAAAGCATCATTTAGTGGGTGTATTCACTGCAAATAATAATAATTTTTAGTAATCCCTCAAAAGGCTGGACAGGGTCTTCAGAGTACAGGGAAGGGCTTTCAGAGTACAGGTCATTTGCCGGCTGAAAGGCCACTTCTGAAACCAAAGATTTTTGTTTTTAGCAAATTTTATTTTAGCAAATTATTTGTGCTGGGAAAATATACGTGTAGTTTTAAAAAGTGACTCTTTAGTGTGTTAAAATATTTTAAAACCATTGAAGTAAGTTATGTGTACTTTTTATGAGCAGAGAAATTGAGATGGAGCAGTAGGACAAAATTATAACCACTGAAACTAAAAAAAAGGAGCAGCTTACTACTTTTTAATTTAAATCCAATCAAGTGTTATTTATCCTTTTGATTAGCTTTGATTCAGAGAGACAACCACTCTGAATATAATTTGGCCTATTCTTGCCAGTCTTTTATATATATATATATATTTCCATAGATCATGTTATGTTATGTATCAATATAATTTTGTGTCTTAATCTTTTAATATAATTTTTCTGACAATATTATTCCATTGGATGGATGCACATACCTACAATACTTTATAGTTTCACTTTAAAGTCAGTGATACACAAGTTAAGACTTCTGAGTTTCAGGAACTGTTCAGATTCTTTTGTTCCATTGGAGTTATGCATTGTTGGTTTTTTTTTTTGCTTGAAATAGGTGTTTTCCTGAATCTTAAATGTTTTTAAATAAAAAAAGTTTTGATTGTAGTAACGTTTAACCTAGATTGTGTTTTTCCCCCCAATGATAATGTCTCATCAAGTTTAGTCTACTGTTAGAGTGTAATAGTAGGACCCAGCTTGAGGCTTTAAAATATTTCTAAATTATTGCATATTCTCACATTCATGTCAAAATTAGGGAAGGAGTTATACCTAACAATTATTGCACCTTTCCTTCATTTATTTGCCATATTATTCTTTTCTTTCTGTGTTGTTGCTTAATTCAGACACTTTTGGAAGGCAGCTATGCTCATCATTATACCACCAATGCAGACATTTTGAATAAATGATGTAATAATTTTTCTCTTTGCATGTCAAGCCTTAAAAGAAGTCATTGCATAACAGTGTGCTCCCTTTATTTTATTACTCAGAGGAAGGTAGCAGTATACAGAATATGTGGAATGTTTAACAGAGTCTGATATGCTAATAGCTCTCAGCTGTGAGTTACAGCAGGCTTAGTGTTGTTGAAGTTGGCATTAATGGTGGCATGTTGCTAGGATGATACATGGTAGTAGGGAATGATATGAGCTGGAAATCTAAGCATGGAACTGAGTCAGAATCATGAGGCTAGCAGTGACTTCTGGTCTTTTGTCAAAGCTGGTTCATCACTCTGCTGTTTTCCCTTGTTCATTTAATATCAGTAAATCTTACTAGTTTATAGCTAGCATTTACCGAGTTTTTCTTATATGCCAGGCTAAGTGGTTTTTACATGAGCTATTAACTAGTTATTGTGAACTGCTAGTCGCCATGTTAAAAAAAAAAAGTATTTTGTGTGATGAGATCTATTTTCAGTTTGATTTGTGGTTGGTTGCTCATGCATTATGATTTAAGAGATGCCTGTTTTTAAACTTTCTTGCTGTTTTATGCAAGGTGAATTGATTTTTCCAGATAAAGCTGTAGAGGCATTCTTACAAAAAGCAGTCGTTTGGGCCTTTTTATGTGTTGTAGAACTGCAGTATGTTGGAAATAGTTGAGGTGGATTTAAAAAAATTTTGGGAGGATTAAAAAATTTTTTTATTAAAAAAGAATAAGAGAGTTACTTGGTATATCCTCAAGAGGATCATGACTGCGGGAATTGAAATTTGTCCTCAGTTGTGGAGAGAGGTAGCCAGATCTGTGGGTGTGGACTGCGCCTCAACTGTAGATCAGAGCCAGGACAGGGTGGGGAGTATTGGAAACACACTTAATTTTTCTTGGCTGTAATTTTAAAGGCTATATTTTAGTTTTTATTGATTTATTAGCTTCAGTTCCTAAATATAATGTCGAAAGGTATGGACATTTTGTGTGTGTGTGTGCTTTAGTGGAAGGTAGTAGTGGGTGGGAATATAGTTTTTAGTGACAAGTAAGAACAGAAGTATCATCTTTCTTTATTTCCCATTGCTTTTCCCTAACTCATGTTTTAATAAGTAGCTACCTGTAACTAAAACGTGAAGTGGAAAATTTGCCTAATTTATTTAACAATTGGAATCTGGACAATTAAAAATACCAAGACAAGTAAATAGCACAGAGAACTTATTTTCTTCATGATTTCAAAAGTAAATATGAAATAACTACGCATTTCCCTCTTCTAGTGGATTCTCGATTCCTCTTTTTCTCTGAGGGTTAACACGTGTTCAGATGATCAGATGTCATTCTTTGCTTTGACCCAAAGAGCCTAGATGTTTGCTCCTCAAAATATCTCCTTACCTTTAATGACAGGGAACTCAAAGCAGCTATCATTTTCTCTTTATGCCATGGATTGCTTTGATGCTGTTAGATCTGTAGTGAGGCTTGACTGAAGATGTCATGGGAGCAAATAAATACTGGTTCTAATTATTTAGTATTGAAGGAGTTGTAGAGAACTTTGATAAGCACATGGAATAAATTAATTAGCTATAATTCTATATCTTGTAGACAGATCATTGCATTTTTTCCAGTCTTTTTTTTCTGTGTGCTATAAAATTATAAGCTCAATGTAATTGAGTAATAGGTTTAGAGGAGTATTAGGGCCTTCAGAGATAATCTCAGATCATGGTTAAAATTTTAGTAAATTGTTATCTGGTTGTAGGGATCCGAGACCTCTGCTGACCTAGGTAGTTAGGCAGATGTGTTACTACCGATAACACGTAGTATTATCTGCCTTTCTGGGAGAAGGAAATGGCAACCCACTCCAGTATTCTTGCCTGAAGAATCCCAGGGACAGAGGAGCCTGGTAGGCTGCCATCTATGGGGTTGCACAGAGTCGGACATGACTGAAGCGACCCAGCAGTAGTAGCAGCAGTCACTACCGAGAAGCCTCTCCCAGAGTGATGAGGGCCACAGCTCCATGGCTGGGTCACTGCTGGGGTGAGGACGCCGCGAGAGTGGGCGTCCCTGGGCTCCCCTCTCTGTGCCTGAGCCATAACGCGCTCAGGGTTTGGTTGGGGTACACATTTATGTATCAGCTGCTGCCAAGGTACAGAGCTCCTCGAGTAAAAACGGGTCCCAGCCCCTGCCGTACCACAATCAAGTTAATCTAAAAACCAGATAATCTCCCAGTAATGGAACGTTCATACAGAATGGACAGTTCATTATCCTTTCTATATGAGAGGTTTTTTCATTATGATTTCAGTATAATGAGCCATCTTGAAAGTGGGAGAGTGGTTCAGTCTGGAATAGCTGTCCTAATCAGTGTGCCCTTTAGATTTTGATCAGAACACATGAGAGAGACAAGAACTAGCAAGATTGGCAGTGGATTTATTTGTGGGATAAACAGCCCAAATAATCCAGTATTTAACAAATCCATAAGTGGATAGACATACTCAGTTATACAAAGGAACTTTGAAGCTTTCTTTTGGGAAATTTGCTTTATGTGATTCTCTCTATATATGTACATTTTCAGCTTACAGGATTCATTCACAACATGTATATTAAGTCGAGTAGAAGTGTCTTTTTTGAAAAATTAGAATTTTCGTGAATCTGTTGGATCTTTGGGAGAAGCTTGACCACTTGTTTCTTTATAGAAATATGCAGCTGCAATACTAATCTATTCTTGTAACTTAATTTATAAATAAAAATTATTGTTAACTAGTATTTTTCTTTTCAGTTTCTCTTCAGCAGCGGGTGGCAGAATTGGAAAAAATTAATGCAGAATTTTTACGAGCAAAGCAACAGCTTGAGCAAGAATTTAATCAAAAGAGAGCAAAATTTAAAGAGTTATATTTGGCTAAAGAGGGTAAGTTTATAAGTTTCCCCCTAACTCCCGTACTAAAACTGTCTTAAAATGTCAAGTTTCTTGGTAGTATATACAATGTTAATTTTAATCACCGAATAAATCTTGATTTTATTTCTAGTTGCATTGTAAAATAGAAACCTATTTAGAGGTTAGGGTTAAGAATGAAATTGTAAAACAAGTTGAATAATGGATTATTTAGATATTTCTTTGTCTTTTGACCTTAATGATATTTAATATGGTAGGCTAGATAGTCCTAGGACACAGGACTTTCAGTCCTCTTAGCACTTGGGAGATAGCCCCAGGTAAATCAGGGCAGTTGACATTCTAATAATAGCCTTAGCTGTGTTATACTAAAACTGACATTCATGTAATTTATTCAACAAATGTTAATTATTCATTAATAGGTTTAATACCTACTATCAGGTAGGCATTGTGCCTTGGTCCTGGGTATACAGAAGGGGCAAGATTTGTGTGGCTTTTTTATTCATAGAAGTTTGATTCTACTGAAGAAAAAAGATTAATAGTGCACTTAGTCGCTTAGTCATATCCGACTCTTTGCGACCCCATGGACTGTAGCCTGCCAGGCTCCTCTGTTCATGGGATTCTCCAGGCAAGAATATTGGAGTGGGTTACCATGCCATCTTCCAGTGGATCTTCTCGACCCAGGGACTGAACCCAGGTCTCCTGCATTGCAGGCAGATTCCTTACCATCTGAGCCACCAGAGAAGCCCAGGAATACTGGAGTAGGTAGCTTCTCCCTTCTCCAGGGGATCTTCCCGACCCACAACGCTCTGAGATGACATCTTGCAATGGCTTTGATTCCATGTCCCTGCCAGAGTCTGCTGAGTCCCCCAAAAAAGCAAAGTGTATAAGGCAAATGGACAAAGTGTATAAGGCAAATGTGTGAGGGCATATCATGAGGGAAACCTACTCTGAAGGATGACGGGAAGGGTTTACATTTTGGATATTGACATAGGAAGGTATAGATATGGTTTCTAGAGCCCTCTAGACCAGTGAGTGATTCTCAGAATGTGATTGTGAAAGAGCAGCATCTCATTAATAATCTCCTGGGGAACTTGTTAGAAATGAAAAATTGTGTAAGCTACCCGGGACTTACCGAATCTGACACTCTGGAATTAGAGTCCATAGCAATTGATGTTTTAAGGAGCTCTACAGGTAATTCAGATGCACATCAAATTTTGGGAATAGATGCTCTAGTATAGACCAGCAACTTTCAGACTCTAAAGTGGATAAAAATCACCCAGAAAACTTGCTGGAACATAGTATGTTGGGCTGGAGCCTGAGAATTTGTGTTTCTAATAAGCTTGTAGATGATTGCATTACTGTCAGTCCAAGGGCCACAGTTTCAGAGCCATTACTCTAGACTGGTGATCCTTCAACATTTAAGTTTATCTACTCTGTAAAATGTTCACATACATCCCTTCATTGCTTAAAAAAATTTTAAATTTAAAAAGATTTGAAGTATGTCAATTCTATTGTATTGTTAATGATGACAATTTAAATAAAAAATTCATGCTTTAGACATATCCAGTATAGTCAGTCATAGTGATTTATGATAATATTCATCACTGATCCATTGAATAAAAAAAAGTGAATAACTTCTTTAGCAGGAATTTTACATTTTCCGCCCTTCTGTTATTTTTAACGTCTTCCTCGGAATTTTATTCTAAAAAGTGATTTTTAGAACACAAATTTGAGTGTGCATCAGAATTTTATCTCTAGGGTTTATTAAAAGGAAGATTGCTGGGCCCCACCCCCAGGGTTTCTGATTCACTAGATCTGTGGGATCCTAGACTTTGGATTTCTAGAAAGTTAACAAGGTAATGTTGATGTTGTTGGTTCAGGTACGACACTTTGAGAACCACTGGCCTACAGTAATATTTTGTGCTTGAAAGCCATTGGAAAAATTGGTCTGACTGTTCTGCAATAAAAATATGCACATAAATTTCTTTTGTATTGCATTATCACAGTAATTTAAAGTATACAAGTGATTACATCATAAATATTGTATACACTTAAAAAATAGTATGATAAGGTGTAAAAATTACTGGAAATGCAGGTCTTAAGAGATACATTGGTTCTCCCACCCAATTAAGTCATTAACCTCTAGTGAATATTATTAATATCTAGAAAAAGATATGTTTCAGTTTTTTTCTTTTCTTTCTTTCTTTTTTTTTTTTTAAACTAGATATAAGTTGGGAATTTCCTAGTGGCTTAGTGGTTAGGATTCTGGGCTTTAACTGCTGTGGCCCGTGTGCAATTCCTGGACAGGGAACTGAGATCCCATAAGCTGAGCAGTATGGCCTTAAAACAAAACAAAAATAGATGTAAGTTAAGCCCCTGATCTCATAAAGAAGTAGATGGAAATAGAAGTTTTTCTTTTTTTAAATAGTGATATTTTATTCTCTTAACTCTTTCTGAATTACGTGTTCAATCACCCAGTGCTCTAGCTTCAATTTTATTTTATAGACTGACAACTCAAATAGGTCTTCTTTCAGTTTTGTTGAAGTAGACTTTGCAGTCCATGCATGCATGCATGCTAAGTTGCTTCAGTCATGTCTGACTCTGTGACCCCATGGACTGTAGACCACCAGGCTCCTCTGTCTATGGGATTCTCCAGGCATGAATACTGGAGTGGGTTGCCATGCCCTCCTCGCGAGGATCTTCCCATCCCAAGGACTGAAGCCATGTATCTTAGGTCTCCTGCATTGGCAAGTGGGTTCTTTACCACTAGTGCCATCCGTGTGACCTGCCAATAGATTTGTTACCCAGTTACAAGTCATTCACTTTGTTACTGAAGTTTTTACACAATAAGGCAGTGAAAGTGAGGAAAGTGAAGTCACTCAGTCGTATCCGACTCTTTGCGACCCCATGGATTGTAGCGCTACCAGGCTCCTCCGTCCATGGGATTTTCCAGGCAAGAATACTGGAGTGGGTTGCCATTTCCTTCTCCAGGAGATCTTCCCGACCCAGGGATTGAACCCGGATCTCCTGCATTGTAGGCAGACGCTTTACCATCTGAGCCACCAGGGAAGTCCAATAAAGCAGTGAACCATAGTAAAACTCCGGATAGGTGAAAGCCTTTCATTTGCTATGTAGGTAGAAGGGTATTAAGAGAAGGGAGGTGCAAGGAGAATCTACACGTAAACACCTCTCCTTTTTAGGAAAGATTTTTATGGAAGTTGAGGATCTAGAATTTGATTCCTTTAAAACACCATGTGGCTCTGAATCCCTTGGAAGATCTTTGAGTACCCACTCAGGTACACGTAACTCACTGTGAAAACCACCGTCCTGGAGTGGTGTTATTCAGACTAGGTTGTAGCTCTTTGATGGATAGTAGAATTGAATGGGTTGTGACCAGCAGTTTTTTGAAAAGAAATACAATGGAAAATAACAGAGCACATTATTTACCTGGTAAGGTTAAGTTACTATAATTGAACAAAATTTTCTGTTTCAGTTACATATACACATGTATGTATAGAGTTGTGTGATAAAATATATTTTTTGGTATGAATCATGGTAAAAACAGTTTGAAAGTCATTGTTCTATAGGATGGAAAGTTGCTAGGGCTCACAGAATTCAGCCCTTGCCTTGGAAAGGTTTATTCACTGCAGTGTGGAATTGGATGGTTTTCTCATGGGTTGCAGGAGGGCTGGCTGTTCCCTGTTAATTTTTTTCCTTCATAGGCTGACAAGGACATGGGAAAGCTAGTGTTCCTGTCTAGACATGGTGGTAGTCTGCAAGACACTGTGGAGGTTGGGATGAATGAGATATGGTTTTTATCTTCAAGAAAGTATAGTTTTCCTTATCTTTTCTGAAGTTATAAAATTGCCTTTTCTATAAAATTCTGAAAAAATGAAAATGACTAAGAAACTCATTTCTGAAATACATTATCAATTGCAGTTTTCTATCTAAGCAGCTTTGAATGTGGGTTTGTTCAAAAACATACCTGGTATATTAAAATTGCTTTGAATAAATCTAGACCCAGTAAATAATCTGTATGTGTACTTTTGTATCTTTACTATCTGAAGTTCTCAGTGAACTTAAACTGGCCATAGAAAATAGGTGAGTTAAATTTTTATGAATTTCAAAAGGAATATTGTGATTCTTTTTGAGAGTTTTTAGTGTCATTTCTAAAGAAATTGCACAATGTGTAAAAGGTAGAGATTTAGTTTATGGATGTCTTTGCCTATACAAATTCAAAGATGTCCTCTAAAGCAGCAGCTCATCTTGTTGCATGAATCTAGTCTTCTATGATTTTCACCGGGGGTAACAGTGTAAGTCATGGTTTTGTTGTGTTCAGTAGTCTTTGTATGTTTTATCTTTCAGCAGATCAGGTCACAATAACCCCAGAAGTCCAAATATTGGTATTTTTCCCAATTAGAATAGCTTTTGCTTTGGTGTTGTAATAGCTGTGCTTTCATTTATTTGGAGAGTGGCTGAAATAGAAGTGCAAATAGTAATGAGAAGTACTAACAGGGGGTATTACTTCTTGGCTCCCCTTACTGCCTTTTCCTGCCTTAACACTCATTCTTTTCCCAGCTGACATCAACTGGGAATGTTATAAATACTTAAAATTCTGTTACTTTTCTGCTGAGATTGAAAAAAAGATTTAACTTTCAAAAAGCCGTTTTTGATTTAGGTTTCCCCTTTAACCAGTTTCAGTACAAAGCTTGGCACTGCAACAGTGTTTGTGTTTTGGAAATCCTCAGTTTTGAGCAATGAGTAAGAGCCTGTTACACAAGGAATCAAACAAAAGGCCATAGAGTTCTCAATTTGAAGGAGAATAGTAGAAATAGAGCTCATGTTAATCACCAGAAGACAGTGAAATTTTCTAGTGGTGTTCAAAACGATTTTGTACATGGTCATTACTTATATAAAGCTCTGATGCCAACTAAGCAGAGCAATAATTAAAAGCTTGGTTTAGGAAGATACGTAAAAAGAATTGCAGGAGAAGAGAATGGAGGGAATAGTAAAGA